AGCATAGTGCTAGAGATTCATCGTTATCCGGCATATTATCATGGATAATGTTGTAGGCCGCAGCCCATGCCTCGTCCGTTTTATCGTAATTATAGAGCTGAAGCTCACTAAAGGAGATAAAAGTAGGATTAGGTGCGAGTTGATACCAGCAACAATCCAGCAGTACCCAATGCCCTCAACTTGGAGCCCATCACGTAGTACTACCTCACTGCTAACCAGATAAGCGTTTCTATCAGGGCTTTCGTGCCCAATACTTGACGATGTGGCCCATCCTCAACTTGGAATGATCGATTGAGCAACTCCGTGCACATTTCCGCCCGCTGTGATGCTGTAGCAACCGCAAGGGAGTCATTCAAATCCTCCGATAAAACGAGCATCTCCACACCATTATTTCCATCCTTATGGTCAACTTGGCCTGAGCCAGAATTCATAATGCACGCAACACGTAGATGGTCATAATACCTTCCACCTCCTCTACCTCATCAACACATCTAGGACATGCACAGATAAAGTCTCTATGCTCGAGCTGCTTCCTACGCACTGCAATGCTTGAGGATAGGTACCTTAGGACCAGGTACTGATCAAAACCCACACAGATTCCGGTAGTACTCGTGTTCGAAGTAGCTTATGGTAAGTTGTTCACCACGGTTGATGTCACGATTCGTGACGAAATGTTGGCATGTGCCAACCGCGAAGCGATTAACCTGCAACAAACTCTCCAAGGCGCGGGGGTACATCTCCGATGGTGCTTACATTGGGAGAACAACTATGGTTGAAACCAGAAGCTTTGGCATAAAGCCCAATACCACTTAGATCAGCGAATACCTACCGTCAAGTGAGGAATAGGAAGTGATCTCTAGCCACAAGCCTACTACTACTACCTCTTGATATGTGGTCATCTCAGGGCATGTCTCGAATCCTAGAATATTGAGCCTACACTTCTGGTGAATAACTTCCGGGTCCATCGCATTCTCTTTGCTCTCTTCACTGAAGAATGTACAGGTAACGAACCTTGATCCCTAATGCGTAATGGTTGCATACCAACGAGGATGCAACCCCTTGAGGTGATCTTTCCAATAATCATTGCCTCTGGACAGGACATCAGTTATGATAACCCGAGTGAGGAGTTCGCTTTCAGTGAAGTCGTCTATCATCAAGCAAACCGATTCATTACCTAATCATATGACCTCCCCGTCCCTACTACCTCCTCCCAGCCCTACACC